TAATTATCTGTCGCAGGTATTTGAGATTTGTAGGCTTTTTTTTAATACCTTGGGAGCTGCCTGACTTGTCCATTTGATCCAAGTCTCCAGGAAACACTGCAGCCTCTTGGGCTTATTGCGTTTGTTCTCCCATCTTCTCATGACACCCATTCCATCAGTCTCGTTCCCTGTACTAGTTTGTACAGGTTCCGTGTTGGATGTTCGTCACATTCTTCTGGACGTAATTTCATACGTCTATATATTGCCTGCCTCCTGTGATTCAGTGCCTCACATTCGCATAAGATGTGTAGAGCTGTTTCTATCCCTTCATTGCATAATCTGCAGCTGAGGTCTCCATTGTACAGCCCCATTTTATTCAGGTATTCTCTGAGCGGGCAATGACCGGTTAGAAACCCTGTAATTATTCTGAGCCGATCCCTACTATATTGAAGTAGTTCTTTGGTTCTTTTCTCGGACGGTTCTCTAATGAAGGTTCTACTGTGTTTGTTGCCAGGTACTTTTGTCCAGTACTATGTGTGCTTCTTATTGGTTCATGTCCTAATCTGGTTTCGTACCAATGATTTTGGTACCCCCAGAACTGGTTCAGGACCTATATATGAAGTTGATGATCCGCGTCTAGCGCATTCATCAGCTTTATCATTACCTGTGATTCCTGAATGCCCTGGCACCCAGTACAAAGTTAATTTGTTCCTGTTTGCAAGTTCATTCAGTTCTTCATGGCATTCCCAGACCAGTTTTGATGTCACCTTCGGGTTTATCAGAAAACCTAGTGCCACCTTTGGTCTTCGATCCATCTGTATACCACGTGTTTTTTCCAAACATGTTTTCTGGATGACTAATGGTCTCTTCCACTCTTCACGGCTTATGATTTTGGTAGTTCCAAAGTTCTTGCATGGCTTTCAATGAAATTTACTGTCAACTTTCAGAATCATACATCAGCGGACGTAATCAATACGTATATTATCGCGGCTTTCCTTCAGATGTGTATTTAGCAACCAGCGGAGTCCCGCAAGGATGCAATATTGGTCCCTTATTGTTTTTACTATTTATTAATGATCTGTGCAACTCAATAACTTGCAATAAATCAATATTTGCTGATGATTTGAAACTGTATACTGTTACGATATTTTTCTGTTCAATTAATTCCTTGCATCGATTCAACTTCAATTGAATATATTTCCTGTATCACGAACACCCTATAAAAGTAGTCAGTTATTCATAATTTTTTTATCTATGCGACAAAAACTCTTGGGCTCGGTACTGATTGGAAACGACGTAAATGAGATAGCGATTTCTGGAGAAAATCATGAAGATATCTGCCTAGTAAATGTGTTATAACTATCGTTGATTGATTTTCGCAAAAGTGCGGATTTACATTTCAAAGACTGGGTTATTTGAAAGTGAATTCAACCCTTGTTTGAAACGAGTTTGAATTAAGATAATACATTGATTTCGTCAACGTCTCCTGTTGTGCTAGGGATCTCGACACAAGGAAGTAAGCGTTCGATATTTTTCAGAAACATAAACTTTGAAAATACCTTGAACTGTTCATAATTTCAGACGTTTCATTTCTCACGGACCACGTTCCATATTTATGAGTTTCCTACACTCGTGTATCCAGAAGGAAGTTTTAGTCTGTTTTACTTCCCGAAGTATTGTGACTACTTAAAGTTTGGTATTGCTACACCTTTTTACCAGGTGATTATATGCAACGGACTTGGATAATAGAATCGACGAGGATAGGTACCTCGTAGAGGATTTTCTTTTTCTTTAAAAAAATCGTTATGGAAGCAATAAACATAAGAATTGAAAGATCATGTTTTTGTGAAGTGAATTAATTAAGGACAAACCGATGCCTATATTTTATGTTATACTAGGAACCGTATTCATAGTTAAGAATAATTGAATGATTGATGTGTTGCCTGTTCACATTCAATTCTTCCCACCTAAGTTCTTGCAAGAATCGGCTCATTACATCGTTGAGTAGTACATTAAGACTCAGTGACCTTGGAGTTTTTCTTTATCGTGATTTATCATATCCATATATTAGGTCACTCCCTGGGTATTAGTTTAGGATTGAATATTGTAGTTATCTCTTGTATAGTTTAGTGATTTTTGTAAAAAAAGCCGGCCAAATCACTTGGCGCCCATTTTGATTAGAAATCTTTTATTTTATTGGTAATAACATCTTTGATCCACGGCCCTGTTGAATGTTTCGAGTTGGTAACTAAACCAACCGTACTTAAAACAAAACAAAAAGTAACTACGTTATATCTGGAAATTAATAAACCTACGGGTAAACGTAATAATACATATATAAACAGTTTAGTTGATTGTAACATTATGCAAAAGGAGAATAATTTTTTACCAGTTTGGAATCTCAAAGAATCGCCTCCTTTTGAATATATCTAAATGTAAGATTGTTACCTTCAGTAGAAAACTTACACTAGAATTTCGTTACCACATCGACAACATTATTTTGGAAAGAGTTGAGAATATTAAGGATCTAGGAATCTATTTTGATCATCAACTAACTTTCAACTACCATATTGATCATATTATAAATTCAACTTACCGCGCATACGGTTTTATAATAAGGAACTGCAAAAATGTTCATAATATGCTAACCTTGACGTCTCTGTATTTCAGTCTGGTGAGGCTAAAACTAGAATATGGGTCCATTATATGAAAGTTTTTAAAATTTCTTACTTTTAGAATGACCGGAACTCCAACTATAATTACCCTGATCTGCTATGCAGATTTGACTTTGTAGCCTTAGAAAAAAGAAGAAATCAGGCATCTGTTTTATTTCTATATAAGCTATCTATCGAATGGAAAATTGGATTGTCCTGTACTATTATCAGAAATTGATATCTTTGTTCCAAGAATATCTACTAGGCACATCAATACTTTTTTATGCAAAAAGGCACAAACTAACTTAATGTTGAAAACACCAATCAATCTGATGTGTCGTAATGCGAGCAAGCTCTCTACTAACATCGATATTTTTTGTTGCGGTATTTGTGAAATTAAAAATAAGTCTCGTGCGTACCTATAAGTCATTTATGTTTTTTATATCAAATAGTATTGATCTTATATCAAATACTATTGATTCTTCAAGTATGTTAGTTCTGCTCTGTAAATGGGAAACTGTTGGGCAATAAACGCTATTTTTTTTTTCACCGTAGTGTGCGCTGGTCAGGCAAGTGGCGTTGTTCCACCCCGAGGTAAGTATAGATCTCTTGGGCATTCAAATGATCTAGGATGCTTCCATCTACGAGCTGCACATCCTCTCCGTAGTCCCCGCATCGTCCTCTTTTGAGATGGACCATTGCACATTTGTCTATCCTGAATTTCATACCGATAGCATGCGTGTACTCTTCCACCACCCTCAAGGACTGATGGAGATGCTTCTCTCCAGAGGCATAAAGTTCAAGATCATCCATATAAAACAGATGGGTGACCTTGTGCCCCCGGTTTCCAGGGGTGCCACAGTTATACCCTCGAGTGTTTCTGAGCGCAATGGATAATGGCAATAGTGAGATGCAGAATAGAAGGGGGCTGAGGGAATCACCCTGAAATACACCCCTTCTGAAAGTGACCCACCCTGTTTGGACTCTTGCTTGACCAGATGTTATGGTGAAGCGAGTTCGCCAAAGTGGTATCAGTTGTTCAATGCACTATGTTATCGGGTACCGCAAGGCATCTGAGCAAATGCAAGATGAGCTCATGCGAAATTGTATCAAATGCCTTACAGTAATCGATCCAGGCCATAGCGAGGTTACGCTTATATATTGTATCGAGTCCTGCGTTACACATCTATCGATGAGCAGGTTCTCTTCACATCCAGCGACTCCTCCCTTCGACCCTCTCTGCTCATATATCCATTCGAACACTCGGTCAACTGCGGTGAGTATTCGTGTGTATTAATATTATTATTATTATTATAGTCCCTCTAGAAATTAAAATCAACGTGTTCTTTGAAATTTTCGATTACACGTCCGTTTCTGACATACAGGGGGGGTTGCGAAATGTCTATTGACATTCGTGGCTGTATATAAATAAATGTATAGTGTTTATTTTACGTAGCGGGGTTCAGCAAAGCACTTTTTTTCCACCCAACCACGTTTGAAAAATAAAACATTTTGAAAAGGAGTGTGGTACTTACGTACGCACGTAAGAAGTTATACTTCGTTTTTTTGAAATCATTTCTAGGTTCCAAAATACTTAAATAAATGTTGTGAATACAGTTCCGGTTCTCATGCAAACATACGTTGTCTTTACTTTTACTGTGATAGTAACTTTTTTTGAAAAACTAAAATAATGACTTGTTGACTTTAGGGATTTCTTCTCCGATCGCGACAGATGATGGTTGTGCCGATAACGACTGTCCTCAAAGATGCCACGTGAAATTGAGAGGACTGGCGGTCTCCTACGCCGGTAATCAGGCAGGATGTCGACGGGTCCGACGAGGTCGTCAGTGCGATAATAGATGTGTTATTTTTTGTGAAAGTCATATTGAGAGGATTGGTGTACCAGCCAATGATCTATGATCCCAATCATATTCCTGTTGCCAAATAACTTGGGGGTTGCTTGGCTGTGGCTACCACATACTTAGATATGATAACACTTTGAAGCTAATGTGACATCTGAATGAAGGTTTGAATGTATAAAGTAAATTAGTGATAATTGGACAGCGTTTATCAACGCTTATTGAAGCTCTTCGATAGCGAAACACGTGTCGCGGTCTTAGTGAAACCCTTTATAGTGAAAATCCTCCAATAAACTGTATTAATGAGTTTTAGTCTAGAATTTATATATTCCAGTCAACATGAAATATTGGGAATTGATGAGAGACTTCATGAACAGCAAGAAGGTGATTTTTGTAGAAAACATACTTCTACAATTACTGCCAAACCACGTGCATTTGTTGAATCATGTCTATCTCTTTGCTTCGCGCTTGATTTTGTATTGGAACTGAAATAGTTTTTCATTTTCAGCCAAAATTGGATTGTTCTACCTCATATTCTATGGAATGCTAGCGGCACTAGTGGCGATCTGCATGTGTGTCTTTTTCCAGACACTAGACCCACGCATTCCCAAGTGGCAGTTAGACAGATCCCTGATAGGAACTAACCCCGGCTTGGGATTCAGGCCAATGCCCACAAATAATGAAGAAAGTACGCTGATCTGGTTCCAAGGATCGAACGTTACTAGCTACAGTTACTGGGTCAATAATATTCTGGAATTCTTGGATAGTAAGATTTTTTAAATTCATTCATTTTCCAATTATGATAGTGAAATGTCCTGAATTAGACAAATAGGTATAAGGCTTGATAGTTCGTACTGAAAAAATGAATCTTTTTTTTTTCATTTGAAAATAGGAAATCCCAATATAAATACAGGTCCAAAAAGGTAAAAATAGTATATAAAGAATATTGAAATAGTATAAAAATTCTTCTAACAATGAAATTCGTTCAAATAATATACAGGGTGTTTGGTAGCTGGGTGCAAACCTCTAAGGGGGTGATACACTAGATCATGTAGAACATATTCATACAGACATTTTTATTTTCTAGCGCGTTTTTGATTTTTAAGGGAACTTTTACGATTTTTAGTACAAAAACCCAGAATTGGCCAATTAAATGCTAATAACTTCGAATCTTAACAGAAATGTCCGGTTTTTTTAATTTATTTTAGTAGTCTTATGTGTCCCCAATCGTACTAAAAACAGCCCAATGTGCTGGGCATCCATCTTGCTGAAATGTGATCGGCCTGTCCGTGTCCAATATTGGCACTTCGGCATCATAGAGTAACATTGGCAAGTCGTTTATCATGAATTCGAGGTAATTTTGTCCATTCAAATTGTCAGGCAAAATGTGTGGGCCAACCAATGTGCGTCCGATGACCTCAGCCCACACTTTTATTGAAAATTGTCTTTGGAAAGAAATCTGAAACAAAGATGCAATAAAATTAGTCAATTTAGGTAATTAAACACGTGTTAAACATGAGTAATAAAATAATAATGATAAAAATCATTTATTTACCTGTTTTTTCCAATTTGGATTGCTGTCCTTATCAGCCCATTCATGAAGGTTGTGGAAATTAGTAATTCCTTCCCTGGAGAACTTCGATTCGTCAGTTCAGAGGATGGATTTTAAAAACTACGCGTCGTCAATATCTGCGTTTATCAAAAAACGGCGGAACCGTATCCGTCTCGCCGGAACCGTATCCGTCTCGCCGGATCCGTTTCCTCCAAGCCTTGCACACCCGTGCCGTGAAACGGATATTTCTTTTCGTTGTGCGTCGTACTCCACACTTTCCATATCGAAAGGTTCAAATCTCTCGCTACAACTCTGATGCTGGTGGTAGGATTCGCTTCGAAGGCTGCGAGAATTTGCTCCTCGACATTGACATTATGTCTTCCTGGATTTACTGCAGGTTCAGCATGGTGAATACCAGATTCAGACAGCCTACGATATGTGTTAGAAAACACACGGACGTTAGGCACCCTGCAATAAAATAACTCATTTTTAACGTCTTTTGAAGGTGAAAATGGAGAAATTCAACTACCGCTACAATTAGAAATTAATTTACCTGCGGTTCGGGTAACGTTCTTGGTACAAACCTCGTGCCAGAGATGCGTTACCATCAGCTCTGCCATACATGAAAATGATATCGGCTTGTTTATAACTCGTAAACTCAGCCATGGCAGCACACACAACAAAAAGTTCGATAGTCCAAAATAAACAACACCTGCAGGAGCGAAAGGCTACAACTGAACACGGTGAATTACAAAAATGGGGAACACAAAACCAACGTCTACTCGCAACTCGAAAGGGCAAAGCAGTGACTAGAGAACTTGTTTGGCCAACAAATAATGGGGCTAAGCAGCAAATGAAAGAGTACTCTTTAAAGTTTGTCCAAGCTTTCGGAAATTTAATAAATTGTTTCCATCATCAGGGATGAACTTTTTGAGGATGTTTCATCCTCGAAATTTCAACATGTGACATTATTTTCCCTTCAAAATAATTTTAAACTGTAACGTTTTTCACAAATATTTTGTCTAATATTAGACATCCTTTAACCAGTTTTATAAATGTATTGTATCAATGTTCATCCATCACGTTGTGTCCAATATTTTACATAACCATCGTATAAAACATCCTCAAAAAGTTGTAAATCTAACCATTCATAATTATATATTAATATTACTTACACCCTCAAATTGTAGCATCCCTGATGATGGAAACAATTTTTTGTTCAAGTTATTATTATTTTTACTTATGTGAATCATTTCCAGAAATATCCTTTTGACTTTATTATTTTCAACTGCTGAAATTTTTGTATTTTCATAATCCATAACATGATCAGAAGAGATAACACGTTCAGCCAGTCCACAAGAACATTTGTTGAGTCTGCAGTCAACATATCAAGATATTCTATATTCTAAAATTAAACACCCCCCAGCAATAAAGAAAAATCTAATATTATATATAGTATTCCATGTTCTTCTTGTGATTTAATTTACATTGGTGAGACTATTCGTAATTTTACTGGAAGAATCAGGTAAAAGGTTAATATTGATACAGTAAATATAAAAAAATGTATAAGAATACTGTATAAAATAATTGTAGAACGTTTGTGAAAAATGTTTGTCAAAAGATTGAATTCAAATTGACTTAATAGTTGTCAAAATTGATATAACTTTGTTTGACAATTTTGAAAAAAGAAATACATCATTGGGAATTTTCCATCATGTATGTCTTTTTTCAATTTGTTAAGTCTCTGACATTTTGTTATAAATCAAACATAACTATATATTTCCATGAACATCAACTATTTGTTTTTTAAAATTGTTAAACAAAGTTATATCAAAGTTATATCAATTCAAATTCAATCTTTTGACAAAATTTTTTCTACAAACTTTCTATAATTATTTTATACAGTGTTCTTATGTATATTTTTTTATATTGAAAAAAAGCGGAAGCTTGGCAAATATTGTAAATAAAAACCGTTATTTCGCATACGCCAAATTAAAATTAAAATTTGACATTCTTCAACGTGAAAATGCCAACTCTACTTTTAACCCCCTTCCAATGACAGGTAAAACTCCCAATTTTCAAATGGGAAATATAGGTTTGTGGTATATCGTTTGAAAGGTCTCTTTATTCTCTATTAAAAAATGTCAAGTTCATTGCAACAATTAAGATAAAATGAATTAAAATCACGTGGTTACCGAAATTCGATAAAATACACTCAAAAACTAAAATGTACTGCAAAATGTGATTAAATGTAGAATACGAAAAATAACTATGGATGCTAACGAAGTAGATGTTCAAAATGTTCACCGCGAACGTCTTGGCAACATCCTAATCTCAAATAAAACTGTCTTCTAACATTATTTAACATATCAGGCGTGACCGACCTAATCGCAAGCGTTATTCGTTCTTTCAAGTCATTCAAATCTGAAGGTTTAGTTTTGTACACATTGCTCTTTACATATCACCATAAAAAGAAATCTAATGATGAAAGATCAGGTGATCGCGCTGGTCATTCAATCGATCCTCGCCTCCCGATACACCGATTGGGAAATGTTGTATCGAGGTATTGCCGGACATTCACTTGGTAATGTGGTGGTGCTCTACCCTGCTGAAACTATTTCGTATTCACTCGAACTTCAGGGTTTCCTGGATCAGGATAAGAATCTGCTAAATTTGGAATGACATCTCTGCATATAAACTGGGATATCATATTGGTGAATATGACTATAAAATTATATTGGACATTTCCAACTAGAATACTCTGGCTCATAGAAGATCAGAATCATATCTTACACTAATGTATGGCTAACATTGAATGTGGTGGATGCCTGTCTACTCAAAGTATGTGGGTTTTCCCCAAACTCGAGCTGGTTTTTTTATCTGCCCCACATGACCAAGTTCGCGACACTGCTTCTCTGTTTTGCTTATTGTTCCTTGAGATATGGGCGGAAATTTCTCATGGAATAGGCGAGCTACTTCCTGTTGTGTTCGGGTTTTATCTCCGTAATCAATCATTTGTAAAACTGTTATTTTATGCATTTCCGTTAATCTAACCATGTTTCAGATTTGAAGTTAACGAACTTTAAACTTTATTTTAAACACTGACAATTGATGTTGCAACATACAATACAAGTTGGCAAGGCGTTTTAAACTAACGTTGCCACGAAAATTATTAACAGTTTTTCCAAAAGATATCATATGAAAAGAACACTGCTATGGTTTTTACTTACTTTCTTATTATCAATACCTCAACATGAATTAAGTTTTGAGTATATTGCAATAAGTTTTGAGTGTATTTTATCGAATTTCGGTAACCACATAATTTTAATTTTTCTACACACGTACTCTAACAATACACTTATATGACCATAATCCGTTTCATAATGATATCCATTATGATACAGATTTTTCATAACGATACAGATTATCAACCAATAGAAACCCATAATTTTTCAATCAAGAATCCTGTTTCTTTGTTTGTCCTAGATTCTAACCTAAGTAACTAATTGCTTTATTTGTCAAAATCAGTTTTCATATTACCTACCTATATTATCAAAATGTCTGAAAACAGCGATATAGAAGGAATACCATCGACTCCAATATTTTTAAAAGATCAGATTAATTACAGTTGTTATATTCAATATAAATATAATTAGAATCTTTATAGTTTTCGTATATCCATGATAATACCATTAAGTTGGTGTTTTTTTAAAAAAATATGAGTTAATTACTGTAAATGTGTTCAATACAAGTATAATATTTATAGTTTTTCATTATTTATCGGGTTTAGAAAAAATAGCGTATGCAACTCTCATTTAATGGTTATTAATACACTCGCATATACCATACAAAACTCGCCTTCGGCTCGTTTCGTATCCCGGTTAATGCTCGTGTCTTAATAACCATCATTACATGATCGTTGCATAATATACTATTATTATACTTTCCATACTTCCCTTTACTTCCCATTTAAAAAATTGGAGGTTGTACCTGTCATTCGAAGGAGATTGATGGGAGGGCTAGCATTTTTACGTTGAAGTATGTCAAATTACAATTTGAATTTGACGTAATTCGGTATTTTGTTAAAATGTGTACCGTAACCGAAATAATGAATTTATTCCATTTGGCTTTCACACACTCAAAATCTATAACCTTACCGACATTTTCAATAACTTAGGGTGGTCCGAACATTCAAAAAATTGTGTATAAGAAGAGCTTTCAAAACTATACCTACACTTTAACAAGTGTTGGACAATTCGAAAGACGTTCTAAAAAGAAAAGTCTGAGATTTTCGAAATAAACTGCGAGGATTGTGATGAGAAATATGTTGGTCAAACCGAACGGATTATATTAGCTCGCTACAAAGAACATGTTTCGCATGTTCGGTTTCATAGACCGGAGAAATCTAGTGTCACTCAACAAGTCATAGAGAACGACCACATAATAAGTGACAAATGGTTAAAATTGTTGAGACTGGTACATGACAACAGGTTTGTGGATGCCTTCGACCGCTTGTGAATTTAAAAAGTGCGGAATGAGTTCTAAATAGCGACAAATGTCCTATTTAGAACAGCCCTTTGTTTGGTCTCATACGTAATATTTCTAAATAAAAAATAGATGAATATTGGGGAAAAATGTAGGGGATAGTTACCACATAGAGAAGATATATAACAAATTTGAGGTATTGAAAAAACAGGTAGGAACAATAACAGGTAGTTAGGTTTGTTTGAAGGTGATTGACAATGTTTCATGATGAATTTCACTAGTTCGGACTTCCATTGTCTATTATATAAAATGATTTGAAATCCCTGAAACAACTAAAAAAGAAGAATTAAAAATGAATAGCTGAAAATAAGAATTATATTTACCAAAATAAACCTGAAATGAAATAATAGTGAAATAAAATACAAGTAAAAATAGAACAGTTGAATAAATAAAAAAATAAAAATAAAGAAAAGAAAAAAGAAAATAAAAATAAAAAGTGGAGAGATTCCAAGTCACGTTAGTTCACGACTTTCGATCTACAATCGTCTTTGGGTGATGACTGGACTGATTCCTCCGAGAGATGACTATTTATAGGTCGTTCGAGTACTTCCACTTATCCCCGCTTGCCATTTTTCGCTTCACTGGTTACGAGGGAGATGACCGTTTGGCGGGAGTTGGCCATTTTTCGCTTGATGATGGGTTTCCATATGTTGCGTATTTCTACGCTTGCTTGGCTGAATACGTTGTTGGACAATATGTATGCGGATTCCTTGAATTTTCTCCTAAACTAATGTTCCTCTCTGTGTAAGATCTCAGCTTGGGACCACTCGATGTTGTGTTGATGGGTCCAAACATGGTCTGCTATTCCTGATTTGCTGGTTTCCCTCGCTGTGTGCGGCAATGCGAACATTCAATGGCCTCTTAGTTTCACCAATATAGGATTTTCCGCACTCACAGGGTATCCGGTAAATGCAATGGCCTGGTTTTCGTGAGGCTGCTACGGATAGGAGAAGGAACTAGACATCATCAAAAATGATCTTCAACGGAATGGCTACTCCAAAGCGATGGTAGAAAAGACTTTGGCTAGAAGACAGCAGGAGCCTCGCAAGGAAGAGAAGCCGTCACAACCAGTGCCTGCACTTCCCTACATCAGAGGATTATCGGAGAGGATAAGAAGATTTGGTTCCAAGTACAACATCAGAACCTGCTTCAGATCCGGTAACATCAACACAACATCGAGTGGTCTCAAGCTGAGATCTTGCACAGAGAGGAACATTGGGTCAGAAGAAAATTCAAGGAAGCCGCATACATGTTGTCCAACAACTTATTTAGCCAGGCCAGCGTAGAAATACGCAACATATGGAAACCATCATCAAGCGAAAAATGGCCAACTCCCGCTAAAACGGTCCCACGGAACCAGTGAAGCGGAAAATGGACAGCAGAGCTAAGTGAAAGTATTTGAACGACCTATAAATAGTCATCTCTCGGAGGAATCAGTCCAGTCATCATCCGAAGACGATTGTAGATACTAACAATCGAAACGTCGTGAACTAACGTGACTTGGAATCTCTCCACTTTTTATTTTTATTTTCTTTTTTCTTTTCTTTATTTTTATTTTTTCATTCATTCAATTGTTCTATTTTTACTTGTATTTTATTTCACTATTATTTCAATTCAGGTTTATTTTGGTTAATATAATTCTTATTTGCAGCTATTCATTTTCAATTCTTCTTTTTTAATTGTTTCAGGGATTTCAAATCATTTTATATAGTAGACAATGGAAGTCCGAACTAGTGAAATTCAGGTAGTTAGGTAATTATACTACTGTAGTAGTACTACCAGCTAGTAGTTAGGCTATTAGCGTATAAAAACACTAACATAGTAGTAAAAATCAGTAAATCAGTTAGCGAAATGCGCATCGGAAGAAAGTAATTTTGTTCTGGAGTATAAGGCTGTTTCAAATGTTTTATTCGTTTTGATCATCAGAAATTCTCGAGCGCGTCAGATTAAGGTAGGGTGAGTTAATTACCTGCTAAAAAGTGTATATTCCAGTAATCTGACAATTTGAGAGTGACGTAAAGAAAGGGGAGGGCAGCAAAGTTGTAAAAAAATAACGTCATTTCGACATTCTCGAATGTAGCAAATTTTTTTTTCAAAGGAAATAATTCAAGGATAACGAAAAATATATAATCTGACGATTTCCGCAAGCCGAAATAACAGAAATTCGTCGATAAACTTTAATGCGCGCAGCTGTTTGATACCTATATTTCCCTCTTCGAGTTTCTATTCCTCTTTCACATATTCTGTATCTATTACTATCTCACTCCGTCCCCACTCTGAATTCTGTTGCCATGACGTCATCACAGCTGATCACATAAACTCGTTCGTCATGAAGATGAAGATGGTGATTAATTAATCACCTACCACGATTTCCTTTGATGTCCTACCACGTAGTAATGGCTACATCCATCAATTCAATTAATCAATCTATTATAAAAAATTAAAATTTTTTGAGCATTCAAAAAAATGTATTTTCTCATAAAACTCTCATTTATTTGCATGCTATTTTCTGAGCTCTTCAATCAATTAAGTTGTATGATTTAAAAAAAAATAAAAAATAATTTTTTTTTGTCAGATTAGGCGAAGTCCTCTAGATAATCGTCAGATTATGAGACAGCACCTCTAGAACATAAAGATGAACGATATATATCTTATTCTGACGCGCTTGAGTATTTAAAATGGCGATTTTTTTGCACATAATAATAATGGCCGCGAGTTTGCGTTAGATCGAAATGATCAGATTATTGAATGAGAGCTTTTTTTTCGTTGCACCCAACAACCCCCTTAGAAAATCTGACGCGCTCGATTACATTTTTTTTCTTTTCACTTTTAACCCTTACGTACAATCATCCGCATCATGCTGCATCATGTTGCTGTTCTCAGCAACTTCACTTAGCGCCCAAGGAGCTAAATAATATGCATCCATATAGAAAATTGTAAATATCTCGATAACGATCACCCCCAGCGTTGTTGAGGAGGTGTACCTTTTTTACTTGGAAAAGGTGTGGGAATTAGGTTTTTTCTTGAAAAGTACCAAAAGTTCACTGTCAAGAAAGTTAGGACAATTTGAAATAAATAATGACAGCGTACGCAGTGCCCTCTAGATGGTACATTTATATTAATAAGGAATTATGATTTCCCACGTCAAAAAACCCCGGGTACCGAATTTCGTGCAAATTACTTATTTTTTGCAAGAGTTATTTTCAAAAAGCGAACAAAAAAGTTCAATTTCAACACCCCGTATCTCCGAAACGAAGTATTTTTGGACACAAGTTCATATAGACTTTTTTTCTTAAAATTGTCTCAGAAATACGTCACTTGAATATTTCAACGTATTTATGTTACACCCTTTATTGCTACAACTTTGAGTGTTGGGGGTTGCTCAGAGTCCTAGGAGGGAAACAGCATGTCGTGTTGGTCATAATGACATTACATCATCGCTGCACGACTAAGGGTAGACCTTGACGTCGTCATCTCGCAACAATATCTATCATATCTCAATATAACAAGTTTGAGAAACATAATCGATATATTTGAAAATTTCCAATATAAAACTTGTGTGAGATATTGCATGGCGAATCGCCTGTATTGCCGAGGTTCATTATTGATGTTCCACAGCTGTAGCTGTTGAGCAGGTGGTGGTAGAATAATCATAGATTCATATAAAAACCGTTAATTAGGGTTGAACTAGTATTTTTCTGCTTATGCTATTTTTGACTACGAAAATTCAATCTTTCGATTAATTTTTTGAATTTTTAATTTCAGAGTACTATGTTCCAAGTAAAATTGCCAAAGGTAACGGTCAGATCAAGACTTGTTCTCATTCCGACTACCCTGCGATGGGTGAAGTTTGTGAAGTAGACGTACGAGACTGGGGAGATTGTAACAGAGACCAGTTCTTCAACTACCATAAGAACTCTCCGTGTATATTCCTGAAGTTGAACAAAATTTATGGATGGACCCCCGAGTATTATGACAATGCAGACCAACTTCCTGCTGATATGCCTGAGAAGCTGAAGAAACACATTAGGAGCATCAACAATACTAAGGAGGTAAACTGGTACTTGTATGATAGTCTAATCAGGTTCAAAAACATGAAAAATAGAGGAAGAGGTCCTAAAAATATGAACGATAGCTCATTCGATACGCAATCACCTCTAGAAAAATGGTTTTGAAGGATTTTGGTGCAGGTTGAAAATTGCAATTGTTATTAACGAAATGAGATTTAAAAAAATGTTATTTAGTTTTTCGTTGATAACTCAAAAAATATTAATATTTGAGCAAATTTGAAAAAAGCCCGTTAAAGAGGAGGAAATTTTCGATAAAAAAGTCCCGACTCCCGAAACTCTATCTCCATTATTTATAATTTTAATTTGACGTTGAAAATGGGGTTCCGCGCGGCTGTTACGGCATGCGCGCTGCCGCTAAAGAGAGTTTATCAAAAGAAATAATTTTTTTGTAATTTTAAAAATTCAAAAAATCCAGTATCTTCTTAACACTTGAATGAATCGAGTACCGCAGAAAAAAAGATTTATCACCATTTTTCAAAAAGTTATTCAATTGTTAACTAACAAATTTTTTCCCAATCTCCGTTTGCATAAATAATGGGATAAATATTGATATACAATATACTTCATACGATCCTGCGATAAAAGTTCATAAAAATTTATTAATTCGTTAATTATGATTTTTTATAACTATTGCAAAATGAAATATCTAAAAATTGTTGATAAATTTTTTTTCAATTGATATTTGAATGTTTTCACATTAAACAATGGCAGTTATCAACATAGGATATGAATTTTTTACATAATTTGTTTATTAAATTGTTTTAAACAAATAGAGAAATTCAGTATTTTTGTTTTTTTTTCATATTTTGTTGTCTAGAGATAATTAAGATTTTTTTTGAATTCTTTCAAAATTCAATTTTAAATTGTTCATAACAAATTGTTAAACTAATAAACAATTGGATAATAAATAATTTTTTTCTGACAAACTATTTAAAAGTGCAAATTATGATTTTTAAAAGCAAACTTATATTTTTACTAATTATTTAAACAATCGAAACATGAAAGAATCTATTTCAAACAATTAAAAATTGAAATAAGAAAAATTGAAAAAAAATAATTATCTCTAGACAACAAAATATCAAAAAAAAATTTTCAAAAATATCGAATTCCTCTATTTGTTCAAAACAATTAAATAAACAAATTACGTGAAAAATTTAAATCCCATATTAATAACTGCCATTGTTTAATGTGAAAAAATTATCAACAATTCTTAGACATTTCATTTTGCAATAGTTATAAAATATCATAATCAACAAATTGATAAATTTTTATGAACTNATTGCTTAAGAATTGTTGTTAACAAATGTATCATGTCGAAGCATTTTTCTGGGCTTATTGACCGTGGCCTTTCGGTTTTCATTCCTTAAGTTCAGTCTACGACTGCGGTATACATTATCATAGGCGATGAGGCAACGAACGAAGTGCTCGTTGTTCTCACAGCAGATACTACATTGCTGATCTGGATCTCTGGTTATTCTGATGAACTTGGCTCCGTTTGTATCGGTTGAATCAAATGAGCTGATACGTGTGCACTTAAGTGCAGGTAGCTTAACTGCATCTATGTTGAATTCATTTCCATTTCTATCTGAATTCTTTCGGTGTTGCTGAATTTGCATTGCCAGATGCATTATCTATGAGATACTATTTTTTTCAATTCTTATTTTGTTGATAACAATTGCAATTTTTTACCTGCACCAAAATCCTTCGAAAACATTTTTCTAGAGGTGATTTCGAATCGAATGAGCTGTCGCTCATATTTCTAGGACCTTTATCTCTATTTTTCATGTTTTTGAACTTGTTGATTAGACTATGAGTATTAGTATTGGGAAATTAGTGATTTATGAGTCAATTCGAAATTGAATAACTGAAAATGGGTATTTTCTTGACTCGTTGGAACTAGACATACATCGAATATTTGGGAAGTGACAAAATGGTTAGGTTCTCTCGCGGCTGGGGTTTCAGTGTTACTATTTGTCGGGTTTGAAGGCCGTGAAGAAGCTAGCCACTTGCGCCAGCAAGCTTCTTTAAAGGCTCATACATTCTCAGGTAATATCCGATGACTGGATATTACAGCTGCGTACACGTATTTATGTTGACTCAGGTAGTCTGCTGTGATAATACCTGTGCCTGTTTTTTAAAGGACAATGCACAAGCACTATTGCACACAAAGTCATGTTGATGATCGCTCAAGATGTTGAACCCTTCCAAATATTTGAGGATTTGGTGGTTTACAGCTTCCTCCATGATTTTTGACATCACTCATGAGGTGAATCATCAGTAACAAGGTCCGACCTTGTGGCTTCGTCACGTGGATAACACCTTCGTCATCTGAAAACATGGAAGGGAAGTTCTGAACTTTTTCCTAGACCACTTGAATGCTCAACACCCCAGCATCAAGTTCATCACGGAGACTGAACAGGACCCGCTGATAGCAATTCTAGATGTACTAATCGAACGATGTGGTGCTAGACTAACCCACAAAGTATACAGAAAACCCATGCACAAGGATAGTACCTGCACGCACTATCGAACCATCATCCTAGTAAAAAATAAGGGCCATCTCGATTATTCTAACGGAACAGGCTTGAAGAAATGGAACATCTTCGAGTGACACTGAGATTGAATGAATACACTGTACATGAAATCAGCAAAGTCATGAAACTGAAGAGTTTTACGGTTCAAAACGGGGAGAAGGCTCAGATGGTTGCACGCGCGTATCTACCATATGTCACTAGGGTCACAGACAGAAATGGAAAACTCTTGGGGAAACACAACATTGAAACCCATCAAGAAAATCCAACAATTCCTCAGGTCGGCTAAAGACCCACTATCGACAGCAGCGGTTTATCGCATACCGTGTACTCGTGGGAATATATACAGTGACGCCATTAAAGTGCGCACCATATGGGAAACTTTTTTTTCGAAAAGTTTCAATGAAGTTTAACTTCGGCACTTGTTTGTGCTTTAAATTTAACTTAAAATGATGCGGCCAACTGCGAACCACTGACGTTCAATGTTTGTTGAATTCAACTTTTTTTTTGAAAAAAAATTGAAAAAGTGCATTTCTAGATCGAATT